CTCAAACCTTGCAGAGAACAAAACATTGCCAGTGTGTCCTTGACACACTGGGAGATTTACTGTATGTCACTGATATGAAAGGAACCTTTCCAAATAGACGGGTTAATTATGTCAGATAAGAGCAAAACTGGTGTGTCCTGAAATGTTAGACATGAGAAACATTGCTAAGTCAGCTTATCATTAAGCACAAAGCAGCCAATAACAGTATGAAGTAGGTTTCTCTATAGTCACATGGAAGGTGCTCATGAAAATTCAGGTCACTGAACAGTATGTATAGTGTGATATCATGATCCCACTTAAATGGATTACATATGTGTATAAACGCAGGCTAATTATTCAAGGACACACAAACTGTGCCGGGTAGTTTCTCCTGGGATTATCTCTTGGGATAACAGAGGAGGAACAATGCCACTTTCTCTTTCTAATCTTCTGTATATTGCAGATTATTGTATTTTTTAAAATTATGTGAATATATTCATTTTATGGTTTTTAGAAACAATAAAACTGTACCAATTTTGAAATAAGATAAACTCTGACACTGCCTAGTAGCATTCTCAATATTCCTGTGAAATGTACAAATATAAATTTTTAAATGATATACACACATGCATGATTTTTCTTGGTTAATTAAATACTTTTCTATAGAATTTAAATCAAGAGCACAAAAATAATAAGAGCTTTCCGGGTTCTTTATAGGAGATACTATTTCACAAATGTAGGAGAGGTGGGGGCTGGGAAATGGGAATAAAAAAGATGACCTGGCTGTTCCAGTGATATATGTTGTTAAGTGAATAAACTGGAGATCTAATATGAACAGTGCAACCTAATGACTATTATAAAGCAATATTTACTGCTAATAAAATATGATTATCATAAGAATCATTGTGCCAAAATCTTTCTCATTCATCACATACAGTGGTGAGCTATAGGAATGGTTGTCATGATGTTTGTTGTAAAATGAAATGGGTCACTGAGAAATGGTTGAGATCCTTAATATGTGTGTGGTTTTTTTTTATGTTATGTATTTTTTTAACCTCTCAATATACATTGTAGTTGATTTTCATGACCCTTTACCTGTTCCTCTTCCCTCCCTCCTTTCCCCCCCACTACATCCTCTCTGTTCACTTGTCTTAAAAAGTTTAAGGAATTGTTGTGATTGTTGTGTCTTCTTCACCCTGCCACCCTTAATATGTATGTATGTTTATTTATTTATTTTTAGCTCCTACAAATAAATGAGAACATGTGGTTTTTCTCTTTCTGTGCCTGACTTGTTTCACTTAATATAATTTTCTCTAAGTCCATCCATGTTGTTGCAAACGGTAGTATTTCATTCTTTATTATTTCAGAGTAGTATTCCATGGTGCATATATAGCACAGTTTCCTTATCCACTCATCCATCGATGGACTCCATGATAGACATTGATATGATTGATTGATTGAGGAAAGCCAAGTGTCAATAAGACCGTCTGAGAGGTTCTTGGATTTCATGAGTGAGAGAGATGGAAGTGAAACTACTTGGGAGCATTCCAAAAAGGAATCCCTGAAGCTGCTTCCCATCTGACCCCCAGCAAAGGCAGATTCTCAGAATAAATTCTAAACTGCCTGTGAATGGCTGGGGGAGAGAGACAGAGACTAAATGCACATCAATGAATCATCCTGAAGAGTGTTGATAAGCTGTCTTACAATGGTAACACTCTATCATAAATAGCTTAATCAAATACCTATTGATGCAGATTTCAACTATTTTCCACTTTTTTCACCTTTTAAACAATAATTCCATGCATGGTCTTATACAAGGTACTTCATGAAAGTTCAATTCTATTTTTCCACAAACTTCAAGAAAGTTTGTGGAAAAATAGAATATACATGCACGCACACAGAGAGAATATGTATATACCCTCGTATATAAATCTTAGCACACTTATCCACTCATTTTTAACCCTAGAACAGTCTAAGGAGCTTCTCCGTCCTTCTCTTCACCTGACATTTTCTGCCATGCATCCTGCTTCCATTGGGTGACTTTACTCACAGAGTCTAATCCGCAGTGTAGTGCAGTTAACTAAGTACATGAGCTCTGAGTTCAGATCCCAGCTCTGACACTTACGGCCACAAGCCAGTTACTTGATTTCTCTGCACTCACAAAATAGGGAACAATATTAGTTTCCATTGCATATAGTCTTGGGAATGATTAAATGTGGCAATCCTTGTACAATACTGGCAATTTATAAGTGCTCAGTAAACATCAGCCTTTATGATTGGCCTTGGTTCTACCTCTGCAGAGAAAATCACTTTCTATCCTCTTTGGGATCCAGGTTGACTATGTTCTTGGTCAGCTGTTTTGTGCACTTCATCTGCACTTGACAATTTCTTTCTATTCTCTCCTTCCTACCTTATTCTTCTCTTTTGTCATACTCCGTAGACCCACTGCTGATTCTGTTGTTCACAGCAACTAGCAAAATTCCCAGTGACAGAATCAAATAAACCTACCCTTAATCTTTGGAAGTGCAGATACAATTTCTTTTGTAAAACTTACTACTGCAGCGGTCAGTATTAGTCTCTGGCCTATTATAACTTTCATCTGGCCATGGACATAAATATATTGTCTTCTAAGACTTTAGGCTTCACCTAAGAAAATAAACATTCTTTGTCAGAAAAGCCCCAGGGCTTCCACACCTGCTCGTAAAAGGAGTTAAGCTTCAGCAGCTGACCCAGGGCTCTGTTCCCCTTTGGTGAGAAAGGATTTTGTACAGCAAGACAATGGAGAGCTATCACTGTGGTGGACCTTCGGCCAAGGGACCACGGTGGAAGTCAAACGTGAGTATAATCCAAACTGTCCTTCCTCAGATGTCTGTGTATTGTGGCTTCTGTGTCTATGAAGGGATCTATAAGCCGACTCTTTGAAACTAGGCTATGACATCCTCCAGGCCAAAGCTAAAGATCAACTCTGTAAGCAAACTTGAAAATTGATTGTGCATGTCCCATAAAGAGAAAGATTCAGTCATTGGGTGAGAATAACTTGTCTAAGATATACTTCAGAAATTTACTGGGGAGCATAATAACGTGTTCTGGACAGAGACTTGCTCAATTGTCAGAAAGGGAAACTCAGTTTTTGTATAGGAGGGAGGTTAACAGGAACCATTGTGTGTACAATTTTGGCCAGGGGACAAAGCTGGAGATCAAATGTAAGTATTTATTTCAGCTGATTCTTCACTGTTTCTGTTTAATTGGTTTGTTTTTTGCTCTGTTTTGTCTGTTTTTGTTAGTTGGATGTCAGGGATACAACAAATTTCATTTCCAGATTAGGTACAGAGGAGAAAATTGTTCCACAGGAGGCTAGCTGATAGCTATTTTTTAAGATTTCTAAATCAAAACAACTTAATTGGGGAATGGGACTTGAAGCCCTTTCAGGGAGCTTTTTGTATAGGGGAAAGTTAAATCGAATCACTGTGATTCACTTTCGGCCAAGGGACCACGGTGGAAGTCAAACGTGAGTATAATCCAAGCTGTCTCTCCTCAGTTGTCTGTGTCTTGTGGCTTCTGTGTCTATGAAGGGATCTATAAGCCGACTCTTTGAAAACAGGCTATGACATCCTCCAGGCCAAAGCTAAAGATGAACACTATAAGCAAACATGAAAATTGATTGTGCATGTTCCCTAAAGTGAAAGATTCAGTCATTGGGTGAGAATAACTTGTCTAAGTCATACTTCAGAAATGAACTGGCGAGCATAACAACGTGTTCTGGACAGAGCATTGCTCAATTGTCAGAAAGTGAAATTCAGTTTTTGTATAGAAGGGAGGTTAACAGGAACTATTGTGTGTACAGTTTTGGCCAGGGGACCAAGGTGGAAATCAAACGTAAGTGCATTTTTGCTCAATTATTTGTGAGGTTTTGCTCCTGTGGTATCATTTGTGAGCGTTTGTAATATTTTGGTTAAATGAACCATGCCTTGTGACTGAAAAAGTAAATGCCAGGACACCAGAAAATAGCCAAATTTAAAGCTGTGACAAATAGCTCAGTTTGTGAGGAGAATAGAATTTGAAGAGAGAACTGGAAAGAAACTGCTGGGTTTTTCTGTGAATTCGTTTATCTTGTATGATTGGCTTCAAATGGAGGTTTTTGTTAAGGGGAAAGTGTTAGAGTCCTCACTGTGGCTCAGTTTCGGCCACGGGACTAAGGTGGAAATCAAATGTAAGTGCACTTTCCTAATCCGTATTCATATAGGGTTGTAAAATTTGGGGGGGGGGGTTCTGTTTGTGATGTGAGTCGAAGTAGGTTCCAAAGAGAATGGAATCCTTCCAGAAAATCAGATGAGTAATGGACTGAAAGTCAGTTCATCTCACAGAAAAGCAAAGATCTAGACAGTTCTCTCAGGATCTAAATTGCCAGATTTCCCCTGGATCAGTCACCCTAGTGATATTACTCCCAAAAAGAGGTTTTTGTTGAGGAGAAATTAATTAAGCTGATATTGTGGATCACGTTTGGCCAAAGGACAAAACTGGAGATTACACGTAAGTAATTTTTCTCTACTTCCTTTTGAAATTTGGGTCTATTTGACAGTAAGGACTTTTAGACTCTTAAGCAGGAGTCTTGTGGAGATGGGTAAATGAAAGCATTTCAGATTTCTCATCAGTTGTGAAAGTTAAATTCAGCTCCAAAAATAAATTTGGAGATAAAATGATTAAGGTGGCCTACATTGAATGACTCAAAGGAAAAAGAATAGTGTAGATTAAAAAGGAAACTTTGGAGCTCTAAAGAGGAAAAGTAAATGCATTTTCATCCAGTTTTGACAAATAATGTATTGGGTTTTGCTCCTTAGGCATGATTCATAAAAGTAGGGAAATGTGTTTCTTTGTCTATTTTCTCTCTTTTGTCTGATAAATTATTTTGTAAAATATCTATAAAAATCAATAGCATGCACTAAAGATCAGCAAGAAGTTAGAAAAATTTGCCATGTAGGAGAGGCAGCTCACTTGAGAATCAGCCACAATGGCAACTTTACAAAATAAAACTGAGTGATAAACTGTAAAAATGAGAGATTCTGTAGGAATAAGGCCTTGACGGATAACTCCTTTTCTTTAAATTCAATTTCTGCATTACACTAAACTAGATCTTTTATTATAATGATGGAAAGAGAGTTGTTCTCAAAAGCCATTTTAAAAGAAAATTCTTTGAGTGAGAAAGTGTAAATAATTGTATTTTTAAAATGCCCACTGGTCTGTAGGAAAATAGGAGATATTTTAAAGAGTATGTTCTTTTATTTCCCTCAGTAATTACGTGTTCATATTTTATACCTCTGAGAAGGCCGTGGCACAGATAGCATGGTGTGTAGACCACGTGGTGGTCTCTTTTCAAGATTGAATGACTTACGTGGCCTGGCCGTCACGCACCTGTCACAGTGCGCCTTGCCACTAAGGGCCGTGGCAACCTCGCGTTAGCCATTTAACTGTGTGGCTGGTCTTCCTGCCACATAGTGATACAAATACTGCCACCAAGGGAAAAGAGAATGAAAACGCGGTGGGCTCTGAGCTAATATGGGAAAAGCCTAGAGAAGACCAACATATTAAAGAGTTCAGAAACAAAATTCACATTCATTATTATATCCCATTCATGAAAATTTCCATTAAGGGACTATAAAGGACTTAAAGTTATTTTTATTTTTCAGTGACATATATAAGTCTTTCAATACTCTCTTATCAAATTTATCTAAATAATATAATCTCAGTTTTTTAATAATGTATAACTCTTAAGAGAAAATCCACACCAGCAAAAATCAAATTTAATGCCAGAAATCTGGCCATTCAGATCTTGATCAATTCACTTTTACAGAGTTTACATTATATACAATTGAGGTGTATTTACTGATAAAAAATAAGATAAATTTGTGACTTGTTTTTAATTTTGAAAAATATATCTGCTTTGGGTAGGATTATATTTCAGTTGTACAAAATAGCTAATCATATCAATGTAATTAATAAAAAGTTAATATAAACATATTTAGAAAACTTTAATTCTCTGATACAAAAATTTTAATCTGGGTATTTTAATCCCATAACGTCTAACTAATTGTTGCTGCTGCTGTTTACCCAACCTGATTCAAAAGTGAGACTTAAAAAGATTATTCTGTTTCTGCAACAAATTGATAGGACTATTTTAGCTCTTTTTAAAGTAATTTAGAACTGTTTAAACATAAACTCTTGAACTGTTTTAAACTATTTTAAAACTATTTTAGGACCTTTTACAAAACTCTTAACAAGGTTTAAATTTTATTGAAAGCTAATAAATATCTTGAAGTAATTTCCATATTAAATATGCTAATTGTATAATATTTTAATGCTGGATGAAAATTTAAAGCTACCAAGGATTCACCCAGATAGAAGTATCTTCATAGAATACGTCTCCTGCTTTGTTTTCCCAAAATTATATGATTTTGTTGTCAATTATTTGGGGGAAATAAATAGTAATGAAAAAGAGAAAAAAAATATTAAACATAAAAAGTTCAGTCTCTTATGTTGGATTACTTGGTTAACATTGAGGTTAGTTTTATCAAAACCTGTTCACATATCTGTTGACTTCTTCCAGCAAAGGATTCTTGAATTTTTATTTTAACTATAGATTTCCTACCTGGGAGTTTGAATCCCCACAGAGGGGGATTTCCAAGAGGCAATCTGGCAGCTGCTCAAGGTCAGAGGTGAAGCTAGACATTTCCTCCTAGGCAGGTGGCCAAGACTACAGTTGCCCCTTCCTTGGTCTGGCTGAACATTGCCCCATATGGTTACGAGCCATCAGGCCAGGACCCGGGTCTCACTCTGAGGCCTTTGTGAGGAGTGGGATTGCTGCTAGCATTGAGCACAAAGGAGGGCAAAGGAGCTGACTCCCACCAAGGTGTAGATACAGGGCTCAGGGCCCACTCTGAGGGTAGCTTTAGCCTGGTGAAGCCAAAGGAAGCCTGTGGAAACCTGACATTATGGCACAGTCTAGGAGAAGCACAGGGGCAAGGAAAGCCAACAAAGGCTTTCCCTGAAACAGCCGCTGCAGGTCTTTTGCTGCCCTATCTTCTTCCACATAGAGGGCCCAAGACCTTGTTCTAACTTCTAAACTCTGAGGGGCTCAGATGAGGAGGCCTGTATCTCTTTGCCTGAAGCCCTGAGATTACTACAGAAGGCAGGGAACACAGTTGAAGAAAAGAAAGGTAAGGTCAGACAAGCAGGTAAAGAGGCCTCTGAATGGCTTCGGTGAGTTCAAACACAACATTCTGAGCTGTCTTAAGGGCTAGGAAGAAGACAGAAAGTCACTGCTACAATTATACAGGATACACATGCTGTTTTCTGTCTGTCTGTCCCTAAAGTACTTTGTGATCATTCACAAACAAACACGCACGTGGAGAACTTCTCTGTGACTTAAACACAATCTCTTATGCTTCCTTCCTCAGGGTCTGATGCTCAGCTGACTGTCGCCATCTTCCCACCATCTCAGGAGCAACTGAATTCTGGATCCGCCTCTGTCGTGTGCTTCCTGAATAAATTCTACCCCAAAGATTACAAAGTCCAGTGGAAGGTAGACAATGTTGTTAAAGAGGTTGAGGTAGTGGAAAGTTATACAGAACAGGACAGCACAGACAGCAACTACAGCCTTAGCAGCACCCTGACGATGACCAGTGCAGAGTATAAGTGCCATAATGTCTATACCTGCGAGGCCACACATGACAGCCTGAGCTCGTCTGTGGTCAAGAGCTTCAACCAGCAAGAGTGTTAGGCCAAGAGTCCTGCCAGGCACCTCCACCTGCCCCTCAGGCCCAGGCTCACCCCTCCTTACTTAGACCCCAGGCCCTTTGCCCACCAGGGACACACCCCTACTGCAATCCTCATGCCCCTCTGCCCACCCCAAGCCCCCTCATCCCCTTAGCTTTAATCATGCTAATACTGGGGGGGAGAATGAATAAATAAAGTGAATCATTGCACCTGTGGTTTCTCTCTCCTTCCTCATTTAATAGTTGTCATACATTGTTTTTCCAGTTACCCAGCTTCTCTTCTAAAGGACTAAATATTTAGTTGCCGTAAAATGCACCACCATTTACAAAAGTCATCCTGCATTCTACCCTTACCTGCTGTCTTCTACAAGACACTCCTCCCTGAAACCCCCAAGGCCCCATCACCCCACCTCCACCCCCGCCATGGTGTGAAGATTTGACTCCTGATTGCCCTCCTCAGCAAGCCCCACAGTTAAGGATGACAGTTCTTACAGTCACATATTCCTTGATCCAACTAAACCTAACCTGGAAATTTACCAAAGCAAATCTTTCAAAAGAAAACACCTATAAAGAGAGTCATTCCTGGGGACGTCCCGGTGGCGCACTGGATAGTGCACCGCTTGGGAAGCGCGGCGGCGCTCCCGCAAACAATGAAAGCAACCTAAATGAACAAGCAATAGTGAAATACGTCCATCATGAAACTTAGGCTTAAGGGAATAGTATGCCTTAATTACATATTCACACATGTACTGAGGGACTCCTATCTGCCAAGGACCATACTGAGCATTTTCTACAACCTAATTTAATTCTCACTAGACAGTGGGATTAAAAATATTCATTAAAATGTTGGGCAAGTTCTATAAAGCTGAAGATGTTCATATTCTATAACCCAGCAATGCCACTTCTAGATGACTAAGCATCCCTGTCCATCAAAAAACACATGCAAGAATGTTCAGAGAAGCTTTATTCATAAAAGCCAAAACCTGGAAATAACCCAAATGTCCACAAAGAGTAGAATAGGTCTTGAAAATGTGGTCTGTTTACTCATTACAATACTGTTCAATAAGGAGAATTAACAAACTACCACTAAGTAACATAAATAAACCTCATAAACATGATGGTAAGAAAAGGAAACCAAGCACAAAAGATACATTCTGTATGTTTTCATCCATATGAAGTTCAAAACCAGGTAAAAAATAAATTAAACATTGGGATGGGGATTACTCTTGGCTATGAGTGGGGTGAAGTGGTGTCTGGGAGGGGACAAGAAGAGGCTTCTGGGGTTTGGTAATGTCCTGTTCCTTAATGTGGGATGTGCCACTTTATGAAAATGTTTTGAGTTATACCATTATGATCTGGGCACTTTTCTGTGTGTGCATATAGATATATTATAGTTCAAATTAAGTTCACATAGAGAAATGTCTTATACCCAGTTTATAGTTAAGAGAACCTGAGAGAATTAAGTATTAGGTCAAGGCCTCGCAGCTGCTAAGTGGGGGGCCCAGGATCAAATCTCTACTTGCTTAACTCTGCTCTCCTGAGCCCTGTACTATTCTGCCTTCCAGCACTCAAGGTGCTGTACAGAACAGGTGGTCAGACACGCTGTTTTTCTAGTGTCTCCCCCTCCATTCGGCTAACTAGGAACACACAAATCCAGAAAAGGAGTGGAACAGATCTTCGGCAAGGGGAGAAAGGACAGAATTAACATTCAGAAACTGGATACCCATGTATCAAAGTTATGTGTTTGGGAAGCGGGAGGGGCATGTATAAAACCAACTTTGGCTTTCCTGCCCTCTGTTGCATGGGCACTTGGCCCTGCCCTTCTCATCTACTCATCCATCCAACAAACGCTTACTCACACCCTTTCTCAGCTTACACTGTGAAGAAGGTACAGAAATACCTAAGACACTGTCCTTTCCCTCGATTAACTTATAATTCAATTTTCCTACTCTGTTATCCTTTCCCTTGTCAGTACTGGGGCAGTAGGGAAGGACAATCATGCAAAAATTGAATAGGGAGACTTCTTGCCATGCTGCCTCTTGAGCATATTCAATTCTATCAAATCTTTGAAACTTTAGAGATCTGAGTAGAGTTCCCTTCAAATAACATAAACTTATGCACAATCCCTAGGGGCCAAATTCAACAATCAGGGGCACCTCTAATCTGGCTATAATCCAAAGCATGCCTCTTCTCAGGAGGCAAAACTCTAAACCAGACCTACCAGGACCCACGCAAGTGAAGACAAGGGTTCCAGGTTGAATTTTCTCTTTCGACTCCTAACAAACACTCGGTACCATAAGTGTGACCTTATTTGGAAATAGGGTCTTTGCAGATGTAATCAAGTCAAAATGAGGTCACACTAAAATGCTGGTGAGGATGCAGTGAAACTGGATCATCCATATTTTGTTGGTGAGAATGGAAAATGGTACAGCCACTCTTGAAAATAGTTTGTCACTTCCTTGAAAAACTAAACAAAATACACCTACCATATGGCCCAGCAATTGCACTCCTGGCCATTTACCCTCAAGAAAAGAAAATTTATGTCCACACAAAAGCCTACACATGATTGTATATAGAAGCTTAATTTGTAATAGTCAAAAACTGGAAAGAACCAACAAGTCCCTCAATGGGTGACTGGTCACACAAATTGTCATATGATGGGGTCTTCAAAATGTTCATAGAAAGATTCATATTATCTTTTTTTATTATTATTGAAGCATAATTCATTATACACAATCTGGGGATACAGTGTTGACTACCGTCACATGTGTACAACGTGTGATGATAAAATCAATATTATTAGCATATTCATTATTACAAATCGTAATTATTCTTTATGCCACTTACCCAATCTCTTCCCACCTCCCCCTTTTTCTCCCCTCAACTAGAAACTACAGATTTGTTCTCTCCTTCTCAAACTTCAAGGTATTATTTTGGTCTTTTCTTTACAAAGATTCATATTATCTTTTAATTGTAATTTTTCACAAACTTTTTGAGGATCCTCATACATCCATACCATGGAAAACTATGATGCAATAAACAGGAATAAAGCATTTATACATGCCACAACTCAAATGATTCTGAGTGAAAAAACCAAATCTCAAAGGATCACATACCCCATGATTCCTTTTATGTCACATTTTTGAAGTGACAAAATTATAGAGATGGAGAACAGATTGCTGGATTCCTGGGTTTAGGGAGGTGTTGACTTCGACAAAACAGTACCGAGTAATGTTCGCTCATATCGGTATCAGAAGTGGGTAAGAGCCGAGAGGCCAGTTGAGGGGACGGGCGTCTGAAGCTGCTGTCTTTTACCATGAAGAAGCTTTTTGACTTTTGATGGCAGAAGGAAGACTCACTCTCGGGCTCCTCCACCAGGTTGCAGGAGTTGAGCGGGGACGCGGTTTGTTCGAGACAGAGAATCGGCTTTCGGCTGAGCTACTATATCAGACTCAGACATCTGGCAAAGATAATCACGCTTCCATAAAGGGTGATGTGGAAACAGTGCAGCAGATCCTTCTGTATGGAGTATGTGTCGGGCCCCTCCACCAGGCTGCAAGAGGCGAGTGCGGACGCTGCTTGGGAGAGAAAGAGAATCGGCTTTCGGCTGAGCTACAAGATCCGACTCAGACATCTGG